CTGAGCAGGGGGACACTCACCTGCTCGCTCAGAACCGGCCTGAATGAAGCCGGCAGGTCTGACCGTATCGCCCACGGCCCTGCTTAAAACACTGGCGGCAAGAAGAGGCTCCGCCCGGCCGCCGTCCTCACCAACGGCCTGCAGCCCCTTTCCTCCCGAAAGCTGGACCTTCGCCCCAGGCTCTGCCGTTCCTTCGGAGCGCTCGGGCAGATCACGGAGTGTGGCCGGCGGGGGCGGCAGGACCCGCCGCGCTGCCCACCCGGCCCGACTGCTGTGAGGAGCGAGCGGCCAGTGTGCGCCGGTTCTGACGCTCGGGGACGGGCCAGCGGCTGGTCTGGTCGGCATCACCAGTGCCTGGCCACCGGCTCTCCGTGTGAATAGAGCCGGATTCCTTCTGCATGCTTCTCCCAAGAGGGCTTTTGTTTCACCAACAAAACTAAAGAGCTTCTGAGCTCGGGAGGGGCGAGGCGGCGTCTCTGTCATCAGACGAAGGCAGCAAGGAGGGGCGCCCGCTTCCTCTCCCGCCAACACAGGGGGAAACTCCTTGGGCTGCGGCAGGGACGAAGTGAGACTGTTGGGACCCGGACCAGGGCGCGGAGATGAGGAGGCGGCCGCCGTGGCGGAGAAGGGACGCAGGCGCCGCTGCTCACCTCGAGGCCGGGCAGGGCCGAGCAGGCGCCCCGGGGGGATGCCGAGCGCGTGGGGTCCCACTCTGAGTCAGACGGGCGGTGACCGGGGAGGGGCCAAGGGGACCGGGAAAAAGGGCTGCCAGGTGGGTTGGACAACAGAGTCGAGAAAGGTCAGCACACGGGGCGGGCGCTGCTGTGCTGGCGGCTGCGGCCGGACACGGCCTGGAGAAAGCCGACACTCGTGGGCGAGGATCCACGGGAAAGAGGAGCCCGTGCGGGGAAGCGGCGGAGGGAGCTCGGGCGACGTGGGCGCCGGTGGGAGCCGGTGGGAGCCGGTGGGAGCCGGTGGGAGCCTGGGGGAGCAGCGCCGGCTCGAGGGGGCGGGGGTCTCTGCAGTTCCCTGGCTGACGGCGAGGGTCTCTGCAGTTCCATGGCTGTGACGGTGTGGGGGAGGACCGGGGGTGTCTGTTGGGGGGACGGGTGGCCCGCACCGGCCAGCGCCTGCAGAGGCTGCTGAGGGGACAGCTTCCCCGCGGCTGTGAGATGCGCGATCATCCGCTCCCGGCGAAGGGCCCGCCGACTCCCGCCCGCACCCGCCCCGCACCGCCTCTCAAAGGCCGACCTTGCGAGCAGGAAACTCGGACCCCGGAGGCACCCTGCAGAGTCACAGGCTGAGGCCCTGCCCCGCTGCCGGCTGGGTGGGGGACGGAAGTGACATCGCTCGTAACTTAAGCAGGTGAAGGAAGCTCCAACTCAGGATGCTCTGGCGCTGGCACTGCTGTTTGACCGCGGCCGCGCTGCCGTCCCCGTCCCGGCTCCGGTCCCCGCTGCGGCCTCCTCAGGAAGCCGCCCCTTGGCAGGAGAGGGCGCCAAGGGCGCCGGGCTGACCCTGTGCAGCTCCACCTTAAAGCCAGGCCTCCAGGGCCGGGCGGCAGGCTCAGCCAGCTCAGCTGGGCCGGGCACGGTCCCCGGAGCCCAGAGCGGGGAGCAGCCCCAAGTGCCTACCGCAAACACAAACAACAAGCGGGACACCTGGACCAGGAAGTCCGGGAGCGGGGCGGGGGCGGGGTCTGGCTCCAGGGCCCAAGACAGATAGGAAACGCGCCCACCCTCCCGCCCAGTCACATCCAGTGACAAGCGCAAAGGAGTCCGGAGCAGCCAGGCCACTCACCCCACACCACAGCCCCCCCCACCCCGCGCGGCTTTTAGCCCCTAATCCCGAAGAGCGGTCATCAGAGCTGCCCGAACACGAACAGCTCCCTCCCACTAGCGCAAGCCCCACACACTATCCGAAGCCCTGCACTAGAAGCCACAAATTAATTCAGCATTACCCGTTTAGCTAAAAGACCTGGGACTGACAATCATTTACTAAATCCCAACTTTACGGTTTGATCCCCCAAAATCCCTAGTGCCAGCGTCTGAAAACTTCCAGGCCCAAAACACAACTGCTCCCACGTTCCATCACAAAGGAGTTGGAGTTACGACTTCTCACTTCGAAATCCGCCTGGGCACGCTACGAAGAAAGAAACCTATCAACGGAGTACCCAGTGGGTCCACTGCAGTTGTACAAAGAGCCCCGTCCAGAAATGAATCAAACAACTAGCACTCCAGAACTAACTCCGCCACCTGGCCTCTCGTCACCTAGAGCTCCGTTTAGGAAGCAGTGCCAATTTTAGGTGCAGGAAGAAGGCATGCTCCCACAACTATTCTTTCAAACGCCAGACCATCAGCAGCAGGAAACAGGGTCAGCTGTAGCCCAGAGCCAGAGGGGCGCGTCTGGCGGCCGGGTCGGAGCCGGTGCTACAACCTCCTAACTACCTGACGTTGGCGACTCAGAGTCTGCAAGACAGTAAAGGGGGCGGAGGGGTTAAACCCAGGTAAATCTGGGTAAGGACCAAGTGGGAAAGGGGAGGCTGCAGGTCATCTCCTGAGACAGCCAAAGCCCCTTCAGACGTGACCTCCCTCCCTCCGAGCTTCCCGAACTTCGACTCCAATCCCTTCCGGCCTGGCTTTGTGGGAAAATGCACCGTGCCCCGTGATGTGGGCACGTTTCCCTCCCATGCCCGCTCTCTCCCACTGACACTGCCGCCCTCTCGGAGGGATTCCAAATACTAATAATCCCATCAGCCAACAAACCCTCCCCGGGGCCAGGGGCTCTGTGTACTCAGAGAACCCAAGTGCTGTCGCCCCGTCCCAAGTATTTCAGACCTAAGACTCTGGGGGAGGAGAGGGAGAAAGAGTCCCTTCATACTTTTAAATCATTGACCAATAACATCTTTTACAACGGATTTAAATTTTTTCTTCTGTTTAAAATTTTGCTTCTATCTCACCCAAAGAGTCCATGATTCTTAAATATAAATAGCATTATTTCTGCATATGCCATCTAACCTAATCGTAACCTGCCCCTCTGCTAACCTGACCGCAATCCTCAAGACTCTTGATGAAAACTTGCTCGCTGGTTTCGACGGTGTTCCTGCACAACAGCCATTCAACATAACTGCATCAAGATGCCATGGTCCAGGTTTGGTCCCTTGCCCTCTTCACTCACACACACACACACACACACACACACACACACACACACACACACACAGAGTCTCCTACTTTTGCCAGATCACTGGAAAAGCACTTTTGAGAAGATCAGTCAATTTAAACAACCCAACAATGTTGCCCTTATTTCAAAAGAACAGAACGGGGGCCTGAGCTGTAGTACAGTGGACAGGACTCTCGCCTTGCACGTGGCCGACCCAAGTTTGATCCCCAACAACCTCTCGGGTCACCCAAGTCTTGCCAGGAGTGATTCCTGAGAGCTGAGCCAGGAGTCACCCCTGAGTCTTGTCGGGTGTGCCCCCCCCCAAATTCAATAAATAAAAGAACAAAACTTGCCTGAAAACAAACGGCTGAAGTTGTCTCTGCTTTCTTATTTGTATAAAGTACAACTATTTCTTTTGCTTTTTTTTATCCTACTTTTTAAAATTGACTTTTCAGCACAAAAACTGCCGAAGAGAGCTATTTAGCTGCACAAATATTCCTAGTCTATCCTTTGTGTTCTTTTTGAAAACAAACTTCAAAGCAGCTCAGGAAACTCATCTATTTAATACTGCAATGCTTTTTGGAGTTTGGGGATTCTTTTCTTTTGATTTCTTCCTGTTTGTTTTTTTTTTAATTTTTATTTTGGGACCACACCCAGCAATGCTCCAGGCCTACTCCCAGGTCTGTGCTCGGGCATCACCCGAGCGGTGCGGGGGGGCCACTCATGCCAGGGAAGAGCCGGGTCTCCACCCGCCAAGCCTGCTGCTCGGCCCTGATGTTCAAGCCTGTTTTCCACGCCCGAGAGGCCAGGCTTTGGACAGGGGTACAAAACCCACACGCCCCGCGCTTCTCATCCTAAACGCACCCCAAACACAACCAGAAACGGTACACGGCCAGCGGGAAGCCAAGAAAGTCCACTTGTGGCAGTCCATTTATTTCTGGAGATGAGGGTTTTATGTCTGGGGCTTTATTTTGTGTTGTTTTTCTATTTCCCAGTAAAAGTACTCTGATGAAAATGAGAGGCGCAATGTCATCGGAACCCAGCACATCCCGCCCGCTTCTGTTCCCTCCAACCTGCAGTGGCCGGCGGGGCAGCTGGGCAGAGGCCCTCAGCGGGCCTGACCACCCCGGGGACCCCCACAAGCGCGGGAGCTCGGGCGTGGACCCCAACGCGCCAGGCCCACCGAGAGGGCGCAGGGTGGTCTCTGGAGGGCAGGGCAGGCCCCTCCCCACCTCCTGCTCGGCTGGGACAGCGGGGACTGGGGGCACCAGCCTCTCCCCTGCCAGCACCCCAACCCCGGCTGCCAGCCTCCCCCAGCACCCCGGACCCCGGACCCCCGGCCCGGCCTCCCCCAGCACCTCGGATCCCCGGGCCCGGCCTCCCCAGCACCCTGGACTCACCCTGGACCCGACCCCGGGGCCCGGCCTCCTCCAGCGCCTTTGGGTCCCCCGGCCCAGCCTCCCGGGGCCTCCCCGGCCCCCGGCCTCCCCCAGCACCCCGGACCCCCGACCCCGGCCCGGCCTCCCCCAGCACCTCGGATCCTCGGGCCCGGCCTCCCCAGCACCCAGGGGCCCCTCCCGGCCCGGCCCCTCCCCCAGCACCCCGGACGCCCCCGGGCCCGGCCTCCCCCGGGCCCCCCGGGCCCCCCGGCCCCGCCCCTCCGCAGCGCCCCGACCCCCGACCCCCGGCCTCCCCCGGCCCGGCCCCTCCCCGGCCCCCGACCCCCGGCGCGACCCCCGGCGCGACCCCCGGCCCGGCCCGCAGCGAGCCCGGCCCGGCCGAGGGTCCCTCCCCGCAGCGCCGCGTCCCGGGGCCGTCGGGGCCGCCGCAGCGCTCACCTGCGTCCGGGGCCCGCGCGTCCGGGTCCGGGTCCGCGTCCGGGGTCGGGGTCCGAGCGTCCGAGCGGCCGCGGCCGGCGAGCTCCTGCCCCGCAGCCGCCCGGCGCCCTCCGCGCCGCCCCGCCCTCGCCCCGCCCCGGGAGGCGGCGCCGCGCGCGCGGGATCTCGGCCGCTCTCGCGAGACGCCCCGCCGGCGCGCGCCTGACGTCACTCGGCCGCGCCGGAAGCGGCCGCCGGGACCCCGCCGCGGCCCGGCGCGGGTGGGCGTGGGCGTGGGCGTGGGCGGGCGGCGTCCGAGGAGGCGGGCCCCGGGGTCGGTCCGTCCGTCCCCGAGGGTCTCGGCCCGCCCGGAGCCGGCGCTGTCGCCGCGGGGAGCCGATTTCCGGGGCGCCCACCCGCGTCCCCAGGAGCAGGTGGCACGTGCACTTTTTGTTCAAGGGGCACTTTTGGGTTCCTGTTGGGGTTTGTTTTCTTTCTGGGTCACACCCCGCGATGCTCGGGGCTTCCTCCCGGCTCCTGCACTCAGGAATCGCTCCTGGCGGTGCTCGGGGGACCCGATGGGATGCTGGGAATCGAACCCCGGTCGACCGCGTGCAAGGCCAACGCCCTCCCCGCTGGGCTATCACGCAAGCCCCTTTATTTATTTATTTATTTATTTATTTTATTTATTTATTTTTTTTTAATGTGGGAGTACTGCTGTTTATTCAGCCACTGATTAGGCTGATTGAATCGGGCGTGAACTCCACCTTTTTTTTTTCCCCATTTTTTATGATTTTTTTTTCAACGGCTTGTTTTGCACATGAAAATCGCAGCGATCCTCGGGTCTCCTTTGGGGTCACCTGCCACTGTGCAGGGCAGCCCACCGAACTGGGCCAGGCTTGCCAGCACCGCTTAGGCTCTGCTCTCTGCAGGATCTGCCAGGAGCACTGGGTCCCAGTGTTCTTGGGGCAGTCATCTCCGCCTCTGTCTTTGTTTTGGGTTTGTTTTGTTTTGTTTTGTTTTTTAATGGAATCACCATGAGATACAGTTACAGAGCTTTCATGATTTTCAGGCCTACAATAATCAAACATCCGACCTGAGTATCCCTCCCTCACCCCCGCCCCTTCCCCTGCCTCCATGGCAGACACTCCTCCTTCTTCTCTCTCTTTGGGTCGTTTTGATAACCCAGATGACATAGAACAAATGCAAACAAAGGAAGTTTATTTCTGATCAAATATGTTTGGCAGCCCACCACACATGCAGAGGAAACGAGCGTCTGGAGAGTCTGGAGTCTTCTACCGCAGATCTATGCGGCCAGAGGCATCAGGTCTTCTTCTTGGCACCAGGGTTCTATGGGCCGATGTTAGGATCTAAAGGAGGCTGTGGTGAGCTGGAACTTTGACCTCCAGTTTTGAAACTGAGTCATTCTAGACCGATCCCCCCAGGAAGTTGTTGGTGATTCCTAGTTTGTAGCTAATTAGAGCCTGTGTCCCTTAGGAAGTTTGGTGAAGCACAGGGACTTTTTTTTTTTTTTGTAGGAGTACTGCTATTTATTCAGCCACTGATTAGCTGATTGAATTGGGCATGAACTCCACCTTAATTTTTTCCCTTTTTTCTTTTTATATTTATTTATTGAATCACTGTGGGAAAAGTTACTAAGCTTTCAGGTTTAAGTCTCAGTCATACAATGATCAAACACCTTTCCCAAAACACGGGGACATTTTTCCAGAATAGTGTTGTTCTCAATTGCAAACAAGTACCCAGGACTAGGAAGGAAACAGATTGTCTTCATACAGGATTGTCAAAGTATTACTAAGAAGTACACTTCTGATCAAGCCGTGTGGTTGGCAGCATCAGGAGGATCCCAGCGGTCCCCTCTTGGGGACTGTCCTTGGGAGCCTCTGCTTGTTTTCCCTGAAAAGAGAATGAGCAGGGGAAAAACTTGGCGTGTGGGAGCGTCATGCCCTGACAGTTGACCCCGATAAGGGGGAGGCCAAAGGGAAGGCTGCACCTGGTCCGCCTTGGCCGGGCCAGAAACCACATTCTCATTCCTGTCCTGTTTTGCTGAGAAAGTTCAAGGAACCGCCTGCATACAGCTGCAGAACAGAATAACAGATAGCGTCGCTTGCCCAACTTGTAACCCTTAGTTTTCCCACGAATTGTCTACTGCATACTATAAAAGTCAATAAGTAAAGTAAAGTAAAGGCCCTCCCGTTGATCATCGATTTGCTCGAGCGGGCCCAGTAACGTCTCCATTGGAGACTTTGTTGTTACTGTGTCTGGCATATCGAATACTCTCGGTAGCTTGCCGGGCTCTCCAAAAGTCAATAAGCTTTGCAATAAAGTCACTGTATGCTTCCCTACACTAGACATTATATACTCCTCCCTACTCCGTCTTTGCAGCTCTCATTCCCTCTCTCTGGCCGACGTTCAACTAGCTGTGGGGGTCGTGGCAGTCATAGATAGATAGATAGATAGATAGATATTCCGATCTGGGACAACCCCGGGCTCTGAGTGTGGTGTGGGCTGGACTGGTGACAGGGTTCTCCAGAAGAGGCAGCAAAGACGCTGAATATCTCCCATGGTTGCCAGGCCAGGGGACTTGGGCACTTGTCTCACTCCCATGGCAGCTGGTCTCCAGACCATGCCCCGCCTGCTGGAGAGATCCCCGGAGCAGGGAATTGAGAGCAGAACCCACCCAGGAACCGAGACCCTCCATCCTAGAATCCACAAGGACTGAATAGTGCCAACATCCCGAGTGTGAGTTTGGAAGCAGATTCTGTCCCGAGGAGCAGAGATGGCAGCAGCCCCGCTGACACCTTGGTCACAGCCTGACAGAAGCCCCGCAGCTGGGAGCCCCCACTGAGTCAGGCTGGGGACTTGCCCCGCAGAAACTCTGAGTTTGCTGTTAAAAGTCACTGAGCTGGAGGGTCATTTGTTGGACAGTCACAGATAACTGATAGTTACATATTTGCTTTTTTATTCATATAGTCAATGAGATCGAGACCTACAGTGTTTTGCAGGATACCCGCAACCACTTCAATGAGGTGGAAAGTGTACACGATTTCACTGCATGCACACCTATGTTCGCTGCATCGCTTCGTAAAATAACTAAAACACAGAAACAACACAAACTCCCCACGACACATGAAGGGAGCGGGAAGTTGTGGTATCTACACACAGTGAAATATCCTGTCACTCTAAGAACAAAATCGTGTCATTTGCAGCAGTGTGGATGGAACTATATGATATGAAGGCAGTCCAAAGGGGGAAAGAAAAAAAGCCACCGAAAAAAAAATGTTCACAAACTCTATTGAGGGCAAAGCCACAGGCTGGTTCATTTTACTGAATACATTCATAATGAAACATAGGCTATTAGGATTCAGAATATACGCATACATGTAAAAATATGCATAGTATAAATATGTTTTCATGTTAATTTTTTTGGTAATGGGGTTTTATTGGGCTGGAGCGATAGCACAGTGGTAGGGTGTTTGCCTTGCACGCAGTCAGCCCGGCCAAGCCGGGTTCTATTCCTCCGCCCCTCTCGGAGAGCCCGGCAAGCTACCGGGAGTATCTCGCCCGCATGGCAGAGCCTGGCAAGCTCCCCGTGATGTATTCGATATGCCAAACACAGTAACAATTGTCACAATGGGGTTTTATTATACAGAACTTTGTGTTGAGGAGTGGTGTGAAGAGACGAAATGGAGGTTTGGAGGAAATGATCATAAATCATACTGAATAGTGAGAATATAAAACTTTGACCACTGGAATTCGACAGTTATTTTATCTCAAGACTGTATTTTTACTTGATACATTTCTTAATCAAATGGCAAGTCCTGAGTGTCCATTCTTTGTGTATTTTTTAAATGTGGTTCTGGGAACCAAACCCTGGACCACACACATGCTTGAGATATGCTCTATCATGGAATACATCCCATGCCTGGATATTTTTTGACCTAGAATGAGCTCAGAATAATCATTTTCATTTTCATATATTTGATGCTGGAGGTAGAATTTAGCATATGGATAGGGGGCAGGTGCCCCGCCCCTGAGCCTTGATATAAAAGCTCTTGACCTAAATTACAGGTTATTTATAGGTCTTCTAAACAAGCATTATCGGCTCTCCCAGATATTAGATTAAAGTTCAGGTAGTAAGGGTGAAATGCAACAGGCCCTTGTCATTTTATTAACTTAAAAATGATGATGACTTTTTAATGCCTTATTACTCACTTACTCCCTGTTTCCCAAAGCTCTGTCAAAAACAGGAAGACAGCAAAAACTGTGGAGCCGAGAGTGAGCCCAGCCCCGGTGCCAACCTCAGAGTCCACCTGGTCTTTGTCCCAGTCCCTGGAGCCGCAGGTTCCCCAGCACGGGGCTCCTTGGTGCTGCCCTAGCTTGCTGGCCCGGCTCGCTCTAAGAAGCCAATGAATGTTGAAGGCTGGTTGTCATAATAATCAAGGGAAACTATTACAAAAGCGCTTACAGGGGCTGGAGCGATAGTACAGCGGGGAGGGCGTTTGCCTTGCACGCGGCTGACCGGGGTTCAATTCCCAGCATCCCATATGGTCCCCTGAGCACCGCCAGGAGTGACTCCTGAGTGCAGGAGCCAGGAGGAACCCCTGTGCATCGCCGGGTGTGACCCAAAAAGCAAAAAAAAAAAAAGCGCTTACAAAAGGAATAAAGTTGCTTTTCTCTGTGCAGCTTTGCAGCTATAAGAGCCCTAGCAGTATTTGGAGGCTAATTTATTGCTTGAAGAGCATGTAACAAAAACAATGTGAAACCAAATGAACTGTGCTCTCCACTTAGAAAAACTATAAAAGAAAAAGAGAATGAATCTAAAAAAAGAAGCTCACAGCAGAATCCCACCCAAGGTTCTCATGGCCACCAACGATTGCAGATCAAATACATAATCACTCCTACGTGTAATTTGGGGTTTGGGATGCGTACGGAATTTTTTTCCAGATTAACAAAGTTGTCATTTTAAAAGACAAAGGCAGAAACGAATGCAGTAAGCAAAAGTGGTGGAAACGGGCCGGTTTACAGATGATGAGGAAACTGGACTCGGAGATGCATTTATACCTGCCCTAAGGCCACCCCCAGCACAAGTGGCAAAACCAGCC